GTCTTTGTCTGCAATGATTAGACATGTTTTTTATTATTGTCATTAGTGATTATCCAAATTTCGGCTAAAAGAATTGACAAAATCCTACACACTGTGCCTTTAAAAACTGTTGTGTTTTCCCCTGCCTTATTTCAATGACTAAACTTCTGAGTCACTATGTAAAGTTCCTTGTAGCTTGAGTGTATTTCTCCTTCCTTTTTCACACAGCCATCACTTGTGGATTTTCTTAGCCTCATTTTTTAAATAACGTCCTTGTTGTTATTTTTAGAAACCCTTTTGTTTCACGTTTGATGAGTGTGCATCTTAACAGTTTCCAAAGTTGGGGAAATTTCTGGTTCGTTCACATGACATTGCGGTGCTGTTGACCGCTTACGGTCTTCACCCGCAGCTATGAACAGTTTTCTGTTCAAGRCGGAAGCATGAAATGAAGACTATGCTTCTCTTAAAGCCCTTTCACACTGTAACACTTGAGACAATTTATGCCAATGTCTGAAAATGTTGTCCAACACTGGAGATGTCTACACTYAAGATGGAATAAAAATAATCAACTGCAAGCTGTTTTTATCCATATATTGTAATTTTAATGATTAGATCATATCATCTAATCTGTATGAGCATTTAGTCATAAAAACGTTTTCATAAGTCAGCATAAGTTGCCTAAAATATTAGTGTGACAGGGGCTGAAGTGAGAGATTTTTTTCCCTTTTCTTTTGCCTCAGTGTGTAAATCAACCAACCCATGATGGGTTAATTATAGGTACACATTTTTGTGGTGRATGTCTTCCTCACAAGCAGGTATTTGTCAAATGCATATCTGCTAAAAAAAAAATCGCCACCTCTGTGTGCAACATTGAGCTTTCAAAACATTCCAGGAGCTTGAGGAGTTAGCGTTTGTTCAAATAACGCATCCTTTTTTTTGTTTCAACAACCATACATCCACTTTACTGTACATCTTCAGCTGGGATTTGTTCTTATGCACACACAATAAAAATGCAATCGCTTTCATTCTAAAGGTTAACGTCTGGTTTGCGAGCAAATTCCTGAGAAGGTCAAAGGCGTGAAAAAGGTGAATTCCAAATAAGCTGTAAACTTGAGCCTCTTTGACGAGTTCCCACTTTGACCTTTAACACTGCGGTGCAGCCAGTGGAGTTCAGTGCATTTAATGAAACCACCACACATGGGCCTGGAAGGGAAGA